TTTTGTGTTTGTAATTCTGTACATTTAATTAAGTTATTGTTAATTGTTATTGGTTTATTGTAAGTGGTTATTGTTCGGGACGAACAATACTAAGGAGGGGCAATACTTCTGACAGGACTGAAGATTTAGAGTTTAGCTGCAGGGTCTGGAAGGGGTTTCCCATTGTCAGAGGCTGATTAGGTCCATGGCTTAGATATCCTCCTTGTGTAAAAGACAGTAAATCATTCTTTAATGTATTTAATTCACTTTACTAATTTACTAATTCACTTTATTCAATTTACTAATCTTTTCCATTTGTGGGTGCTGGCTTTCTCTCAACTGTTGGAGACTTTTTTCTTATTTATTTTCTTTCTCCTCCAACCACTGCTGTAGACTCTCTTCATGTTCATTTTCTTTCTCCTCCATCCACTGCTGTAGTCTCTCTTATTGTTTATTTTCTTTCTCCTCCAACCACTGCTGTAGTCTATCTTCTTGTTTATTTTCTCGTTCTTTCTGTTTCTTTTCTTTCTCCTCCAACCACTGCTATAGTCTCTTTTCTTGTTTATTTCCTTTTTCCTCCAACAACTGCTGTAATCTCTCTTGTTTATTTTTCTGTTCGAGCTTCCACTGTTGCAGGTTTTCTTGCCACTGCTGTTGTCTCTCTTTTTGTTTCTTTTGCTGTTCTTATATTGCTGCCATCAAATCTGCTAAGCTGTAGTTTGATTTGCCACCTCTGGTTTCCATTTTTTTCTATCCCACTTCTGGCACTAATTTGTTGAGTATCTACTTGTTAGTTAATTTCCCGTAGAAATTATTTCCAAGAAACGTCAGCAATACAAGTCCTTTCTTAATTAAAACTAGTTAATTCTTTCTGGTTACAACTTTGCAATACACAGAATTTCCACAGTCAATATGTTTGCAATCTCGATAACAAAACACACACATTATATTACCGTCACTACCGCTCGCTTGACTCAATTATCTATCTGTATATCTATGTATCTGCAATTTTTATCTCCGGTTTAGTTGCCGGGCTTATATACAAAAAAGAGGGCGCCTAGAACAGACTAGAGTTGCCAGGAAAAGTCAAGATCCTTCGAGACTCTCATGACGTGTTACCAGGGTCATGTGACTTCTACTGTCGTAACACTACTTTGAGGTAAATCAGGGGAGTCTAAAAATACAACATATTGTTGCGTCATCGAGGTCACGTGACGCTAGTAACACGTCATATTCTCGAAGCTTCGTGAATCCTCGTGAGGTTACTAGACTTCGGTATTCTTTTATATATAAGACGGTCAAGACGTGACGGCAAGGATGTAATGTGTGTGTAGATAGTGAGTAATTGAACTGCAGTCACAGGGTATTGTTGAAGTTAACGTTCGTTCGTTATAGTGTTTGTTTTAGCGCGAGTATTGAGATTAAGTGTATCGCAGAGTAATATTCGGAAAGAATAAACCAGTTTTATTAAGTAAAGACTTGTGTCGCTTAAGTTTCGTCGGAACGAAGTTACGGAAAATCAATTAACAAACGGAGACGTAACAATATCATTGTCAGTGCATGTTTACAAAACTCGCTTAGTCACGTTTCTTATAAAGATAAAACAAAACAGCAACTTTTTCATAATTACTAAGATATGGGGAAGTAAATTGGACTCAAAACTCAAAGAAATCATTTTATTTATGGGCACATATGAAACAAATTGTTAAAAGGAGGAGTGAATCTTTTCGCGTGAGAGTACTTTTTCTGACTGCAGATAGAAAAGCATTAACTTTCTTATTTTGCCTTTTGTTTAGCGCCATCCGCAGCTGACAGGTCCTATCTGTTGCGACATCGAGATCACATGACTACAGTGACGCCACGTTTCTAGAACTATCCCGTATCTTGGCGAATGCTCTAGTATTTGCTAGATATAGGGTAGTTTGGTATATATAAAAGGGGACAACGTGACGCGAGAGGAAGGTGATGCGTGTGAGTAGATAGTGAGTAATTGAACTGCAGTCAGAAGTATTATTGACGTTCGTTGTTATAGCGTTTGTTTAGCGCGATTGTTGAAGTTGAGTGTATCGGTAAAGTTATATTCGGAAAGAATAAACCAGTTTTATTAAGTAAAGACTTGTGTCGTTAAAATTTCGTCGGAATGAAGTTACGAAAAAATCAATTAACAAACGGAGACGTAACATCTCTTTTAAATTGTTCACTTTTAATAAATCGTCAGAGTTCGTGGAAGGACATTACTGCCTGTGACCAATGTCACACACACACACACACACACATATAAACTCAATGTGTGAACATTTTAAAGAAATCTTGCTTCTTTATTTTATGTTGATATTTTTGTTTTTCTTGTTATTGATGCTAAGTGCAGATCAACATAATTCGTGTGGCCCCCATATGAGAACTGTTCTTTATAGTCTATTATTATTTGAACCTGCAGCCATAACTCATTATTAAGGAGAGTGTCACAGATTTTAATTATTTTATTCGCTGTTAACGAGGGTCAAGGGTAACATGCACTTGACTCTATTCGATATACTGATTCTTGGTAATGCGTAACATTTGGGAAGACTGAATGGTAAAATGTTAGTGTAGGTTGTGGTGATTTTTTTTTGTTTACGTAAAGTTAACTGAAAATTTATTAGAATGATGACCTCCTTTATTGATGTTACTGTTAGTAAATACTAATGGCGGTATTAATAATAATATTGTTGCGTCAGCGAGGTCACGTGACTAGTATCACGCCACCTCTTTTTAGAAATATCCTATTACTTCAAGAATGTCCTAGCATTTATTAGATATGTGTTAGTCTTGTATATATATATATATTGTTGCGTCAGCGAGTCACATGACCACCGTGACGCAACGTTTCTAGAACTATCATGTACTTTGGCGAATGTTCAAGTTCTTACTAGAAATAGGGTACGCTGGTATATAAAAGAGGGGAATGTACTGTGTGGATAGATAGTGAGTAATTGAACTGCAGTCACAGGGTATTGTTGAAGTTAACGTTCGTTCGTTATAGTATTTGTTTTAGCGCGAGTATTGGGATTAAGTGTATCGCAGAGTTATATTCGGAAAGAATAAACCAGTTTTATTAAGTAAAGACTTGTGTCGCTTAAGTTTCGTCGGAACGAAGTTACGGAAAATCAATTAACAAACGGAGTTTAACAATTTATATATATATATATATAAGAGGTCACAACGTGACGGGACGAAATGAATGAGTAATTGAACTGCAGTCAGAGAGTGTGTAATTGAACCTAGAACGTCTCACGTGCTCGTGCTCGACAATACTCACGTTTGTTATAGAGCGACTGTTGAAATTAAGTGTATCGGTAAAGTTGTATTCGGAAAGAATAAACCAGTTTTATTTAAGAAAGGACTTGTGTCGTTAAAGTTTCGTTGGAACGAATTTACGGAAAATTAACTAACGAACGGAGACGTAACAGTATTAAAAAAAGAAAACTGTGTGTGTATCAATCTTGTTGGCTAATATCATAAATTGGATACATATCGGCATTTATTTAATTACTAAATCTAAATTACAATGTAACTCAGTTTTAGGCTATTTGAAATTGTAATACGTAACAATATAAACAAAGTAACTAATTCTGATTGAATGAACTGCTTGGCCTTTATCTGCACGATCATGCCTATTCTATAAGAAACAAGCTGAGATATCCGTCCTTTTTCTGGGTTATGAAGCTATAAAACTATAGTGATTTATTTATAACATGGCATATTATTACAGTATTCATTATTACCTCACCAAAAGTTTTGTATAAGCTTTAAAACATGATATACACTGTGCGATGACCAGGGTGACTTTGTACGAAGAGGTAGCGCGGAAAAGGTAGTGGCAGTAGAGGTGCTTTCTGTTACCCGCATTTAACACTCACCTATTAATGTCCTTTCGCACTGTTTCAAGTTATTAATTAATTGACGCTCATTGGCTGCAGAAGTGTCTTATGGGATGAAGTTGTAAGGTTACAGGTCAAAGTAGGAAGTGGGTATAACTGAAGAAACGGCTCTTTATATCAGCGTTATGGTGGCTGTTGTTGTATCAACTTCATTTGAGTTTATGTATTATTGCAATAGTGGCGGCCATTCTTTTTTCATTGCATTCCTCCTTAGAAAGTGCTGGCGCACTCTCTGAGATATAAGACGTTCGTGCCTTCCCCAACACTGTGTGTATGTTGTGTTATATAAAATTTAATAAGTGTGTATGTGTGTTTTCTGATATCAAAGCCACTTCGAGCTATCTGCTATGTCCACTGAGAGGAATCGAACCTATGATTTTAGCGTTGTAAATCTGAAGACTTACCGCTGTCCCACCGGTGGACGGAAAACTATATATTTTTTGTTTGTTTGTTGTAAGCACGTGGTGCTATATATGAATGTAGTTAACAATAACTTACGTCAAATATAATGATCGCTCAGTAACAACAATAATGGGAGTGGAGAGGTTGTGAATTCCTATTAACATGCCCCTTTTTCCAGCCTATCACCTTAAAAAGTTTGTCTGAAATTGGTCTAGCGACCTAGGAGTAGTTAGATAAGGGACAAACAGACAGAAATACATATTTTTTTTGCATTATATATATATATATTATATTATATTTATCAAATATATTTAATTATATATCTTATTAATCCAAAGATATGTAAAACCTTTCCAAGAATATTTTATGTGTACATTAGACCAATTTTCTTTGATAAAGATACAACCTCTTCTTCTTGGTGATGACGTATGTACTACCTATGTTGACTATGGCCGCCACCTATTCAAAGATGTGCTGCACACTCTGGGGTAATCATGGGATCGGAGTGGAAACAGACAGACAAAAGAATCTCATTAGATCGAAGCAAAAGGTAGGATTCTATAATGATAGAAAGAGAGATCTAAAAATTACTCGTCAGGCAATACAATAGGAAATTAAAAAACATACTTATCGAAAAGGAACTATACCTTTGACATTTCGGTATAATTGGCTAAGATTTCCAACTAAACAAAATAGAATACTAATAGTTTTAAATGCTATACCCTTTTGATTCATGTATATTATTTATGATATAAAATAAGATAAGTATAGCTGTGCTTCTTGATCTGTTAACTTTATTGAGTTTCCATTATTCAGAGTAGCATTAGGTCGTGCTGCTATCATAGCGTCTTGTAATTTGTAGAAAGTTCTAGGCCTCAGTTTGGCAATGTATATACAGGTGACCAAGTGAGCGCAAGTTTAGTTCAGAAAACGTTAAGTTAGTGAAAGTGAAGTTAGATTACGTGATTATTAGTTTAGCCGTAATGTGCAATATTCAAAGTGAGTTTGACAATGATATTGTAATAGAGATAAAAGATGATAATTAATCTTGTTAAAGGGTGTTCTAAAGTAATTGAACCCGCCTGTGTGGATTTGATGAAAAGAAGACAATTATTTATAGTTCAGGTTACAACTATGGTAATCCATGGGGTAATATAACTGAATTTATCGTAGATTGTATTATAAGAAACAGAGTAAAGAAAATTAATTCGTCTTGTCAATTGGATTCTAAAGTAATTGAATCAACCTGAGTGGATTTTTGATAAGAAATGATAATTATTTAGAATTTTAGATACAACTGTGATGTCCTATAGTGTAAAGAATTTTTGTACATACGTTTGACTTGTTTTGAATATATTATTTTAAAACAAGTGGATTGTGTGCTGTCTTTATATTGTTAGAATTTATCGCTACCAAGTCACAGACACCTACTGTAAAAGAACCCCAGCTCACATATTCAAAACCTAGACCCCAAAAAACTCATATCCATGCCATGACCTGTTTGCGAAGTTATATTAGATCTTTTCGGTTCAGGTTTCTTGATACTAGGGGATTTTACTAAAAGATGTCCCAAGGCAGAATTCTGATTATAAGATTTAGGCATTCGAGCCCACAATATGCTGCTGAATACGCTTAAAACTTTTAGCTGTTGGCACGTTATAAAAGTAATAGTTAATTCCGTGATGTTGTTCTTATAAAACCTGGGTATAATTCACAAGTAACACATATAATAACATTTTCTTTACATTTTGAAGAGCTTTGAACCCTATCTTATAGTTGTCATCAGGTCAATCGGACAAAAGAGTGCAAGTATATTTCCACCGATAAAAACATATATTATGGATATAAAATAAAAGATTTTAATCATATTTACGAATGAAACCGAAACCTTAAATTCTAATCTGAATGCACTGATACATTATCATTTTTTCCTCTTTTTTACGGATATTCGCACAAAATTATTCAAGGGATTTCTGCGATAGGCGTCTCTAGGTTTGAACTGATAAGACTAGAGGGAAGCAAAGACAAATTGTTAATAGCACTCACCCTAAACTCTTGAGTTACTATTGTCTGAATGAAAGTGGGATTTGGCCGTCATCTGCATAATGTGATTATTTTAGTGGTATTAAGACGCGAACGTAGGACTCGCAGAAAGATATTCCGGACCGAAATTCAAAGGCCCATGGTTATACTGAACATTATGCCTGTTATTTCTAGACAGTCAATGCTTTACTAAAATTATTGAAAATAATTATGGTACACTTAGCTTATTACTTTCTTCAAGAGGTGTTATGTAAACTGTTTTATATATAACTAAATGGCTTAATAACGCATGGCACTAAGTAAACGTGTAAAAAAATACAATAGTCAAACGATTCTATCACAGAATGTGAATGTAGTTTAAACGTAGTGACACCAGTAATTGCAATACATAAGCCGTCACTCAAATTATTCATTTTTTCAACTTATGTAATTCGAGAAGGTATAATACATTGTGGGCCTGACTCAGCCAGCCACATGAGTGTAAAAATTCTTGACTTACAAAAATACCGGCTGACCCCAAAACTATATGGGATTAAAGTCGAATAAAAAACACAACAACATTATGAATTAATTTGGAAATATAAGTTAAAAAATTAATATAGCATACACGAAAAACTGTTTCATAATTCCACCAGTGGTTCAGCAGTAAGCCTGAAGGCTTATAATGCTGAAATCAGGTTTTGATATTCGCAGTGTGCAGAGCACAGATAGCCCATTGTGTAGCTTTTTCTTTAATAACAAACAAACTGCATTATAATTCTTAAATAAAAGTATATAGTTCATACTTATTTTATAACTCTCATCATTTTGTTACACAAAACACACGATTTTTTCCCACATTATCGATAAGTCATTGCATATCAATGTAACTTTTCAAGAAGGAGTTTATTGGTTCCATTCAATCGCAGCTTAGAAATCTTGATGTACAATATTGCACCTTTTTTTTAAAGCAGTATTAATTTATTCATGAAAGCATTTATATATTTTACTGTTCCCAATTCCGTTGGCTTTCGATGATATATCAGCTTCTAGATATATCAGTTTTACACAATCTAAATTCGATATATATTTCTAACGATTATTCTTTAGCAAGCTTCTCTTTTAAGTTCCATAAGAAGTTTTTTAGAAGTCGAAGTTTTGAATTTCTAACCCTTCCACGTTTTGATATATTTTAAATCCACTATTTCTGCTTTGTTGAAATATTTTCAACTAAACATTGGATGTATGAAAATAGATTTATGTTTTTTTTTTGCCACGTCTAGTGGGACAGCGGTAAATCAACGGACTTTCAACGCTAAAATTCGGGGTTCAATTCCCCGCGGTGGACACAACAGATAGCCCAATATTGCTTTGCTCTAACAGAACTAAGCTAACAACCAAAGCCACGTCTGTCTTGTGTGTGTATTTTTGTGTTTTTCTTATAGCCACATCGGGCTACCTGCAGTGTTCACCGAGGGGAATCGAACCCCTGATTTTAGCGTTGTAAATCCGGAGACTTACCGCTGTTCCAGTCGGAGACAAGTCTGTATTGTGAAACTGAATGAATATAAATGAATTACATTTCTATTTAATTCTAATGTTGTACTGTATAAATCAAAGTCAAGAGCTTTACATAAAAGTTTGTATTATACAGCTACACAAAATAATGCATAATTATAGGTAATTTAGTTTTAAGTTCCTAAAAAGTATAGTTTGTTCAGGTAAATTTCTCAACCCCAGGAGGAAGACTGGAACACTATAAAACGAGAGAAAGATTTTCATTTGAAGCGTTTAAAAGCAATTTATTTATTAATTTCAATGATTGTCTTTATTTTATTTTGTAGGTAGTTCGGATGCTGGTGGTTGTCGTCCTGATATTTGCCATCTGCTGGCTCCCATATCATATATTCTTTCTGTACACATTCCATTTTCCAAAAGTCCTACAAACCCCTTACATTCAACATATTTACTTAGCTTTCTATTGGTTGGCTATGTCCAACTGCATGTACAACCCTATTGTCTACTTTGTGATGAATAACAAGTAAGTCGCTTACTTTATTTATATAATTTATAACTGAATTTGTTGTGATTGGGCAAATGTCATTTTGATTGGTAGTTTTATCCTAATGCGTCCTATGCTTTTCACATGTATTGAACTGGATTTCATTTATTGCTTCTTACCATAAAAGTATTTTATGGTAAAAAAAATCTGTAAACATAACAACAACAACACTTTATTAAGGGCTTATAAGAATAGTGGATGGTATAATTATTACAATTACAATAAAATACTAGCTACCATTATTAAGTTTATCAGCTTTAATCAAATCTAACGTAAAAAGTACATGCCAGAGAATATTATGCACCTCCTCTATTTATAATTGAAACAGTCAATAATATTTTATTGAGAATAAAAATGGTCCAGCGTATAAATATTAAGTCTCTAAAGACCTCCCCTGTAAGTCAGCTTTACGTTTACTGACTTACAGCGCAAAAACATTCGGGATTCAATTCAGAGCACAGATAGTCCATTGGGTAGTTTTGCGGTAAAACGAAGAACCCATAAACTTGAAAAATGAGATGGTAATACGTCTTTACTTTTTATTGGGAGTGAGTTTACCTAAATGATTTATATGAGGGTCGCGGGTTCGAATCCCCATCTCACCAAACATGCTCTCCCCTTTCGGCCGTGGGGGCGTTAAAAGTAATGGTCAATCCTACTATTCGTTGGTGAAAGAGTAGCCCAAGAGTTGGCGGTAGGTGGTGATGAGTAGCTGCCTTCCCTCTAGAGTCTAGTCTATCACTGCTAAATTAGGGACGGCTAGCGCAGATAGTCCTCGTGTACCTTTGCGCGAAGATCAAACGCATTAAACATTGGTGTACCAATGAAAATTAACAAGATACTGAATAGCGTAAGAAAAATATAATGTGACTAGAGATAAGTAATATTAACATTTAACCATTACATTAAACAAAAACTTATTTCGAGGCCTTTTCCAGCTGAAGAAAGTTAACTGAAAACAGATTATAATCAAAAAGCAGCAGATACTGAGAATGAAGAATCAAATCTACGTTGTTAATAGATTATCTATGTATAATTGTATTTAATTTCGTTTATAAATGGGATTTACAAGAGCCATGTGGTTTAATGAAAAGAAGAGAGGCTTACAACATAATTACTTTATTAATCCTATCTCTCTTTGCTACCAGTAAGTCTTTAGTAGATCCAAGAAGTCTCAGATAAGAAGGTAATTTTATAGACGGAATACCATGTTCAAATGCAAGTACCGTAAAATTAATACTGATAAGGATTAAGCACAGTAAGACAGTAATTTAAACACTTTTGAAGTGACGTAACCAACCACTCAGTAAAGGATTATTCGTACAATCATTTGCCTATTTTTTATTCACAATTTTTAGTTGTTGTTTTTTTTTGTTTGTCGTTAAACAAAAAGCTCCAAAATGGACTATCTGATCTGTGTGGTATAAGCTTCCAATCATATTGCTGAGCTACATGAGTGTATTCCTTTTAACTGAGAAAAGATACAGTAATTGTAAGGTTATGATGAAAATACTAATGCATTGAAATGAGGACGATGAAGGTTGAAATGGAACATCTCAGTAGCTGGTGGTAAAAAAAAAAAGGGAGATGGGAAATTAAATTTCTGATCATGATTTAATATTTTTACTGTAGAGGGCTAGCAACAAAAGAATGTAAAGAGCAAGAGATTTCCAATAAAAGATGCTCATCCTTAGTAGCTATCAACACTAATACAATCTTTAGTGAGACTGGTTTTTCGAAATACATTCATGAGTGAGAAAAAAGAAATATTTACGTGCACAAACAAACAATAAAAGGATAAAATAACCTACTTGAAATGGAACATTTGTTTACTCGGTATACGTGTGTTAAAGTAATTATTTGAGCACATTACAATCTTCTAGGCCTATCAAGGCTTGGTAGTTATGCGCTCGGCTCGCAATCTGAGGATCGCTAGTTCAAATACCCTTGGCCCGGCATGGCCAGGTGAATAAGGCGCTTGACTCACAATCTGATGGTCGCGGGTTCGAATCCCCGTCACACCAAACATGCTCGCCCTTTCAGCCGTGGGTTTATTATAATGTAACGGTCATTCCCACTATTAGTTGGTAGCCCAAGAGTTGGCGGTGGATGGTGATGACTAGCTGCCTTCCCTCTAGTCTTACACTGGTAAATTAGGGACGGCTAGCGCAGATAGCCCTCGTGTAGCTTTGCGCGAAATTTAAAACAAACAAATATCCTTCCCAGAACATGCTCACCCTTTCAGACGTGGGGATATTATAATGTGACAGTTAATCCCACTACTCGCTGATAAAGATGTAGCTCAAGAGTGGACGGTAGGTGATGTTGACTAGATGCTTTTCATCTAGTCTATTACTAGTTAGGGACAGCTAGCGCAGATAGTCCTCGAGTGACTTGAGAAATCCAAGACAAACAGGACAAACCAAATAGATTTCCCCGCAAAGTGTGAGCATTTTATTATATTACACATTTATAGACCTGAAATTTCATGCATTTTGTGTTTGTGTAATTCAGGACAAATAATAAAATAATAGATTGCAATAGTTATGAAATGTTGCTTTTGAATTTAGTCCCCAAGATGAAAGATTTTTTTTTCTGTCAAAAATGTAATTTTTTGTTAGTCTTGTTGGGTCCAGCGATTTTAATGTTTCTATTCTTGATTATTTCCACATTTAAACTGAGATTTTGAACTGAAACCACTCCATATTAACCAAGGCACTTAGCTAATAAATCAGTCTTCAGTGGGTCAGCTATAAGCTTACGGAATTACAACGCTAAAATATTGGGTTCGATAAAAAGCAGATAACCCATTGTACACCTTCGCATTAAGACAAACACGCAAACAAAAGGTAATAGATCGATGCATTCGTTTACTGCAAGCAATAGGCTTAAGTTCTTTCGAAAATCCAATTAAGCTCATATTATGGCGTACATGTAGAGCAACTGTATACCTTCATTTTAACGCTCAGCCAAAAGTAAAAGTTGTCTCATAGATTTTTATTTGTAATTAAGCACAAAGCTACACAATGGGCTATCTGTGCTCTGCCCACCACGGGTATCGAAACCCGGATTCTAGCGTTGTAAGTCCGCAGACATACCGCTGTGCTACTGGGGGGCCGTCTCATAGATAAACTAATATAATAAGGGCAAAAGGCGCAATGGAAATGGATAGAAAAAAAAAACATCTGGAAAAAATATAACCCACACAGCGCTAGATATGTAACTTAGGACTGATATGATATGAGTAATTTATCAACAACATTAAGTAAGTAGCTTACACCCAGAAAAATGCCAATAGCTTCCTAGATGTGATTAAAGGCAAATTTGAATTATTAGTTTTTAAAGCTATATCCGGTCAAAGTTTTATATCTGGGAAGCTATTTTTATATAAATATTTACATCACAGGAAAGTTAAATAATACGCTAGTAGGAGAAAATATTTTGATGTATCGGGTGGTCGAAAGGTTAGACGCTCCATAGCTTATATATTTCTTTTGTATGGATAACATTTGATTTATATCTTCAAAACTCGTTGGTTCTATTTATCAGTCTGTACAATATGTTTATCATCTATTCACTCGTATAGCCGCACATTAATCTGAAACAGATGAAAATAAAAATAATAATTATTAAACTGCTCTGAAACTAAATAATTATTATATTGCTATGAGGATAAATGTTCTCATACTTAATGCGAACAGCACATGAGAAGTTACTGAAAGAGGAACAACGATGCTAAAAATAAAATTTAACACAAGTAAAAGAAATATTAGTGTGGAGCAACTAACTTTTAGACGAATTTATATTTTTACAAGTAGAAGTTATACTTTTTTTTACAAATTACTTCTGATCGCCTTAAATGTTTTTGCATATAGGTTTCGGATGTATTTCAAGACAGCTGTGAGCTGTTGTAAAGTGACGAGAAATAAGGATCCGGTTTACACTCAGCGTTGGACAAGGGATGATCGGCAAGCACGGGCCATTTTTTTACTGAACAATTGCTCTCCAACGTCAAGGATGACTTTTAGTTCCTTAAAAGGTCGACGTGGATCTATCCTGGAGCGTCACAATTCAATAAGACACACTCACCGAGAATTTCATTTCTGAGTGAAAAAGACCTTACATGTCGAATATTTCTAAACACATTTTGTCCATGTTTTGTTTTTGTCTAGAGTTATGCTACATAGATATGTAAGCGTAGAAATCAAAGTGATGTTTACAATTGTTTTTAAGATAAGTTCAGCTAATAGAGGGTTAGAATTACGAAAAAAAAGACCCTGACCTATTTAAGCTCAGTAAAAAAATAGAAGTGGACACTGTAAATCTTTTATCACAGTGAGCATTATATTAGTGCATGTCAAAATGTCAAAATATGATGACATGATAGGAACTGCGCACGTAAGCCTAATATTGGAATGATACAGTCTTAATATATTCTTTAGCACTGAAAATGTTCAATATGCTCGGTTAACGAATTACAAGTGTGACACCTGTACCACTCGTATCACTGCTTTAGTATGTAATTTTACATTGAAATGGTTAACTGTGACGTCATAATGAAATAAGTGTTGTATAATGAAGTATTGGTATTATAGTGAACATTTCTTTGGCGCATGTTGACACACTGTTAATGCTAAACATGATGATATAAGTACTTCACACTGAAGTACAGATATTAAATAGATTGTTTTTAAAGCAGGCGATGGAATGTATCATAATCACACGTACAAATTTAAGATTACATACACTACGTTAAACAATTAGATAATATAAAGAATAATTGGAATTTATTGTATCTCAGCTAAATCAAAGCAAAACAACAGTTATAAATGACGTAAATCAACCCATAGTTCACTTTTATGAAAATCAGGCATCTGATGATGGGTTATGTTATTTGAACTGCAAGTATTGACTCGTGTATGAACGTTTGTTTGGTAGAGGCGGCTTTATACCTTTAAAGTTCAAAACATTTCATTCCAGTATGGTGCGTGATTAATGTGAGCAGAAAGAGCGGCCTTTCACCATTGTTTCACGCTTAAAATAAGAGTGCTAATAAGATCTGGTTCCAGGATGTGAGTTGGCTCCCAAAAGCATTCCATACATATTCAGTGGAACGTGATAGCTACCCACCCCCTCGTCGTTTGGTATGTAATAACCAGGTTAGCACGTGTTAAGATAGGCGTTATTGTCCATAACTCTGAAGGCAGGACCATAAGTATCAGCGTTGTAGGATGCGGACCTTTTAATGTGTGACAATAATGTTCACGACAACCTTCTATGATTGACTAACTTCCATTTGTCGGCAGCTCTCGTTATGAGTGAATTATCCAAAGTTTTTCTTTAAGGTCTAAACTTGATACATGAACACTTTAGAGCACTTTAAAGCGACAAATGAGACTAAGGTGAATGACCAGTCGTTTGCATTTAGATCATATTGACTGATCCTGTGATGATTGAGTTGTATAATGATTGACATTTGTTTATATTAGTGGTTTTGCTTTCTTGTTCTAGTTGCAACGAGCTCTGACTATATTATATATATAAGATGTATGTATGTATATATATATTTATATATGTGTGTGTGAAAAAAGGCCCAGTGAGCTTATTATAACCTTAGAAGTCTATTCTGAGAAGAAGGAAAAACATGAAAAACATTAAGTATTGCGATTAAGCATGTTAAATGTTAACATAAAAACGAAGAACTGGGCACAGTTAATTTTATACCATTATTACTAACATTAAAAGCTCTTAGTTTAATGAGCTCGCAAATACAATTAACCAAGTTTAACACACTCTTTATCACGATAAAAGGAATTTTCATATTTATTATACACATATACCACGTGGTGCCAAAGATGTACTTCAAACATTAGCTCAAAAAAATGTCACCTACATCTGTAAATTAATTATAAGTATATACTTATATAATTTATGTGTTTCGTGTTTGTATGATCACTTGAAAGATTGTTTACTTTTCACTCATTTGAGGATGAAAAGTTTTTAAGAGTCACTTGATGACTGTTGAGATGAAAGTACTACTCACTTATGTTTGTAAAGAATAAATTAACGTAATTTAAGTAGGCTAGTATTTCTTGGAATTAACGATTTAATGTAGATGTGCTGTGATCGGTGTTGTTCTTCATATAACAGTAATGGCGCTGTGCAATACATACATCCTTTACAATCTTAATCCCATCTAGTTTGGGGTAATTTTGTAAGCCAAGAATTTTTATAGCCTAGTCGGTGACGAAGTTTCGAACTCAAGTTGCCAGTCGAACCTCTAATCACCAGACCATGCAAGTCCCACGATATATTGTTTGAGCGTATTTCTTTTAGCGCAAAGCTATACAATAGGTTATCTAAGCTCTGTCCATCACGGGGGATCGGACACCAGATTTCAGGGTTACAAGTCCGTAACCTTACCGTTAACCCCACTGTGGGACATGTGCGATATATAGAATAAAATTTTTCACTTAAGATTGTATGCTCACGAAATACCATATTTATCAAACGGACAGAAGATATAACATACTACAGTTTCGTGCGTGCAATCTAATCGCTATGTTGTGTGTAGTAACAGCTCAGTAAGTTGAATCTTAAGCTGGCAGATTACTTTGTTCTTATCTTTTGACGTTCATTGAATATATATATATATACTCATAATAACTAACATAAAGCCTTCATTTATTTCATGTGACGCTCTACGTATAATGAGCTTACTCAACTCAATTAATTAATTTTAACAGTCCTTACTATTGCAATAGTTCTTTTCATAGTTAATATTGATATCTACCACCCTGTGCCAAAGATGTGTATGAAACACTGACTCATAAAATGCTGTATAAATTCCTAAATCTATGCTAGATTTTACTAAATTTAAAAATGATGACAGTAACGGTAATATCTCGGAAAGTGGAAAATGCTTCAAATACCGTTCTTGATGCGGTTGGAGTTGTATGTATGATAACAAGTTTAACTTTTGCAGTATAATTAAAAATCTACTAAGAAAAAAAAACTAAATAATAACGAAGAAAGAAAACAGAGAAATGTCATCTATTTTTATGAAATAGTGATCTAATATTAGTTTGACTGTGCGTACGATACTTAAGTTAAGGCAAGTTTTATAAACTTTAAGGTAGCCTACTAGTTACAATAGGCAGCAGGAAGCTATAGAGGTCCTATTATAAATGGAAAAGTATCCCCTGCCAAGCTTGGAATATATTTCTTTTCTTTCACGGGGATGGCGGGAATGAGTGCGCATGTGTCATTCGTTGGCAGTGACAAGGGAAAAATTTAAATGGCCCTTCAAACTAGTAGGAGTGGGACAATTAAGAATATAAGGGATTTTGGAATACATCTGAGAAAGGCTCAGTTATCCCCTCATGATCAGAATTCAAGAAGATGGATAGATTATGTTACATACAGACAGACAGTCACAAAGACGCTTTATACTATAGAAAAAATTTTTCATAAAGATAGTTTTATTTTTTAAATAATGAAATTATATTTTAAGCTGTGAAGGACTAATTAGAGAAAGAAACAACTGCGGGAGCTAGCAAGCAATGAAACTACTATTTTACGTAAATGTTATCTGTATTGTAGATATATACATGTATATATGTTGAGATATAGTTAGCGTTTGCAGAGCATCATTATACGTCGGTGAATCTAAGCATATTGACACTCGAAGGAATTTGTACAAATTGCATGTTAGTTTCTTTAAATAGTGAATTTTCTTATATATATAAAAGGTAAGTAAGAAATAAGTTAATATATTTTACAGGTTTCCCAGTTTAAAAGTGTGGTGTTACAAGTACAAGATTATACCACGAAACGTATTTCATTTAAAAGTTAAAGAATATTTGAGATTTAATGGGAGAACAAAGCAGTTTATGTTATATAAAGGGAGATGGTGTAAATATGTTTTAATTATTGTTGTATATTGTTGCTAATTGTAAATGCTTTTTATGTCACTGAAATCAACTTAAGTGGTTATCTAACATGCTTCTGTACAAATAGTGTTTATTGTGTATTTTAAACTATACGTATCTACCGATGTTACAGATTCGTGAAAATAAATCTTTTATCGTACGTTTTATTTGTTGTAACAGATGTCACGTCCTGCCAAGTGCGAAATTTGATAAAAAGTATACATATCGTTAATGTAATATCTGACAGTTATAGCTGTATTTTACGAAGTGTGAAAATAAATATACATATTTGTGCAACAATAGAACGCCTCCTATTGACAACATCTTTACGATATTGTGAAACGAACAAAACATGTTGTGTACTATACGCCTAGAGCTGTTATTCATATATCGTTCTTCATACATACAGTTACTGTCCTTCGTGATTGCGACTTAAATGTGTTAAACAAAATATTAAATCAGTTGTTCTGTAACTGTTTTCTATTTAAAAAAAAGGCATGCGTAAATTCAAATAACTGAATAAATAATAACACAGTCATACGAGTTTCAATTAAACCTCTTTTGCGACATTTCAAGCAGAGTCCTTCGTCAGGCAGTATAAACTATGTTACAAATAAGTTAGGCTAGGAAAAAGTCATTAAGGGGTAAAGGAATTTACAAAAGTTATAATTAAAGACATGTTTACAAAGCTATTGTTAAACGTTTATTATAAGTATATTAAAATGCACTGAAACGTATATCTTGAGTGAAATTAAAACTGATAAATATATCTATATATACAACTACATGTGCATATAAGTTAAGGTAGAAATGCATAAACATAAGAAATTAAAACGTCGTGTAACGTATTTCCTTGAGTCTGGAAAGTTTTCAGCAAGCATTGTTTAAAAGAAAAATTGAAGATAGAAATAGTTGTTACGTAATACAGTTTAGATAAAAGTTTGGCTGATAAAAGTTATTTAAAAGTAGTTTTTTATTCATTATAATTGTGAAATAATTTTTATGTTTAGTTGAAAGATGAGGTAGTGTTTTTTTAACTTGTTTTTTTCGATGAAAAGACTTGCAATGTCGGAAAAATTATTATATACAGAAACATTAAAAGTGCCTAGGAAGTGCGATAAAAATATTTAATAATGTACCTTTAATGATAAAAAACGAAAATATAACTTAATTTAA